ATATATATATATATATATGTATGTATATTTATACCACCCATCCCTCTATCCACTCACCCAACCCGCCATCCACCCATCCACCCATCCATCCTCCTACCCATCCACCCATCCACCCATCTATCACTATATAACCTTTCCCTCACCACCACCTTCACAATACCTTGTTTGGTCTTCAGAGTGGTGTTACAGCAAGCAGCCAGAAGTATGTTCACTGACACCACCTTCTCTGTCAACACTGCATGGTGTAGAGCTGTCCTGCCTGAGTCATGTGGTGAGAGAAAACACATCATGATGAATGGTGTAGTGAATGAAATTGGTGGGTGTCGCGTGAAATGGCTATTATTTTATTTTATTTATCAATTAATTTATTTATTTTATTAATTAATTTAATTTAATAATTAATTTGATTTATTTTTTTTTCGAAAAGAACTCTTTTTCATTATTTACATCGCAAGTATATCATGATGTAAAACACATCATAACGTATAGCATACTCCATTGTTTAAAGCATATCACATCATACAGCATATCATAACATCCAGCATACCACACTATACAACATATCACAAATCTATAAAATGATAACAAAAAGAATGAAAAATTTTGTTAATCCTCTTCGTTACAATAATTATTTTCGGTGGAGACAAATTATTCCCCTTCTAAATCACCCTCTGTGGCCAAGGGACGACCGAGAAAAAACATTCACTGGCGGTGCGGGATTCGAACCCGGGTCAGAAAGGTTTCCAGACGGGTAAGCTTCCGCTACACCACACAACCCACCACACTACACTATACCAAACACCGAAAATCCGTCTAACACCAACAGACGCAACCATTAACTCCTTTTTTTTCGCACTGTAACCGACATAGCATCACCGTCATCACCATCACCGTAATCACCATCATCGTCATCACCATCACCATCACCGTCATCACCATCACCGTCATCACCATCACCGTCATCACCATCACCTTCATCACCATCACCGTCATCACCATCACCGTCATCACCATCCGCGTCATCATCACCATCACCGTCATCACCATCCCCGTCATCACCATCACCGTCATCACCATCCGCGTCATCATCACCATCACCGTCATCACCACCCCCGTCATCACCATCCCCGTCATCACCATCACCGTCATCACCATCACCGTCATCACCATCCCCGTCATCACCATCACCGTCATCACCATCACCGTCATCACCATCACCGTCATCATCATCGTCATCACCATCACCGGCATCACCATCACCCTAATTTCCATCACCGTCATCACCATCCCCGTCACCATCATCACCGTCATCACCATCCCCGTCACCACCATCACCGTCATCACCATCCCCGTCATCACAGTCATCACCATCACCGTCATCCCCATCGCCGTCATCGCCATCGCCGTCATCACCATCACCGTCACCATCATCAACGTCATCACCATCCCCGTCATCACCATCACCATCATCACCATCACCGTCATCACCATCACCGTCATCACCATCACCGTCATCATCATCATCGTCATCACCATCACCGGCATCACCATCACCCTAATTACCATCACCGTCATCACCATCACCGTCATCACCATCACCGTCATCACCATCAACGTCATCACCATCACCGTCATCACCATCACCATCATCGTCATCACCATCATCGTCATCACCATTACCGTCATCTCCATCACCGTCATCACCATCACCGTCATCACCATCACCGTCATCACCATCACCGTCATCACCATCTCCGTCACCATCATCAACGTCATCACCATCACCGTCATCACCATCTCCGTCATCCCCATCGCCGTCATCACCATCACCGTCATCATCATCGTCATCACCATCACCGTCACCACCATCCCCGTCATCACCATCCCCATCATCACCGTCATCACCATCACCGTCACCATCAACAACGTCATCACCATCCCCGTCATCACCATCTCCGTCATCACCATCACCGTCATCACCAACACCGTCATCACCATCACCGTCATCACCGTCACCGTCATCACCATCCCCGCCATCACCGTCATCACCATCACCGTCATCACCATCACCGTCATCACCATCACCGTCGTCACCATCACCGTCGTCACCATCACCGTCGTCACCATCACCGTCATCACCATCGCCGTCATCCCCATCACCGTCATCACCATCCCCGTCATCCCCATCACCGTCATCACCATCGCCGTCATCCCCATCACCGTCATCACCATCGCCGTCATCATCATCACCGTCATCACCATCTCCGTCATCACCATCACCGTCACCATCATCAACGTCATCACCATCCCCGTCATCACCATCTCCGTCATCACCATCACCGTCATCACCAACACCATCATCACCATCACCGTCATCACCATCCCCGGCATCATCACCATCACCGTCATCACCATCATCACCATCACCGTCATCACCATCATCGCCATCATCATCACCATCATCATCATCACCGTCATCACCATCACCGTTATCACCATCACCGTCATCACCATCACCATCATCCCCGGCACCGCCATCACCATCACCGTCATCACCATCACCATCATCGTCATCACCATCATCGTCATCACCATTACCGTCATCTCCATCACCGTCATCACCATCACCTTCATCACCATCACCGTCATCACCATCATCACCACCGTCACCGTCATCACCATCACCGTCATCACCATCATCACCATCACCAATCACCGTCATCATCATCACCGTCATCACCATCACCGTTATCACCATCACCGTCATCACCATCACCATCATCGTCATCACCATCACCGGCATCACCATCACCCTCATTACCATCACCGTCATCACCATCCCCGTCACCACCATCACCGTCATCACCATCCCCGTCATCACAGTCATCACCATCACCGTCATCCCCATCACCGTCATCACCATCACCGTCATCACCATCACCGTCATCACCAACTTACCCAATTTATCCTGCCGGTCCTTCATGGCTCCTCCTTTTAGAAGTTCCTGGAGTATATCCTTATATCCATAGTGAGAAGCCTTGTGGATGGTGATTAAGCCTGCAAGAAGAGTAATTAATAAAGTGAACGTTTATCACTATTAATGTTTTATATCTATTGATGTGTATCATATTTTTTTTCAGATCAAGGTGATTAAGCCTACAAGAATAGTAATTAATAGAGTGAACGTTTATCACTATCATATTTATAGATGCGTATCATATTTTTTTCAGATCAAGGTGATTAAGCCTGCAAGAATAGTAATTAATAAAGTGAACGTTTATCACTATTAATGTTATATATTTATAGATGTGTATCATTTTTTTTCAGATCAAGGTGATTAAGCCTACAAGAATAGTAATTAATAAAGTGAACGTTTATCACTATTAATGTTATATATTTATAGATGTGTATCATTTTCTTTTTTTTTCAGATCACCAGGCATGTACATAGGCAAATAATGGTAACAAGGTAAGCACATATAATTTATGTTGCTAGTGTTCTTGTTCTCGTGTTCTCATGTTGTTGACCTTCCATTTATATTTATGTTTATCATTGAATTTGTCGTTGTTGATATTATATTTAGCAATATTTTTCAACCATTATTATCATTATGATACAAATTAAATCATTATTACAGTGCTATATGCTTGTCTTTTTATCAGATTATGCCCAAGGTATAGTGCATTCATAACTATTAATCAACCATATGTTCAAATACACAAATACACCGACTTCAATACACTCAATAACACTATAACTAATGAGAAAATGAGCAACGGCTAAATCTTCTTGTTGTCACTATCAAAGAAACACCATCAACATACTTTAAGACATCATGGTCACTATCACAGGCCTATCAACATCCTTGAGACATCACGGTCACTATCACAGGACTATCAACATCCTTGAGACATCATGGTCACTATCAGAGTCCTATCAACATCCTTGAGGCATCACGGTCACTATCACAGGACTATCAACATCCTTGAGACATCATGGTCACTATCAAAGGCCTATCAACATCCTTATTCATGATCACCAGCATACTCTTACATAGATCACGGATCACCATCTCATTCACCATCTCAAGTCACTTTCACAATCATCCTAACAATATATCAAAGACACACCATCGGCAACATCACCATCGGCAACATCACCATCACCATCATCATTATTTGTAACAAATATCAGCCGAACAGTGAATATGATCACTAAGATGACACTATCATATTCGTTAACAAAGAGGTACCATTAGCAATCATCATCGTCTTCACCATCATTTGTTTCAGAGAATCACCATTAACGCATTCTTATTCTCACTATCGTCACCATCAGCAACACTATTAACAGTCATTCACTATTCACAATCATCACCATCAATGGGACATCAGCAGTCACCATTCTTGTATTCTTCACCATTATCAAAGAAGCTCCAGTAGCAGTCATTCACTCTTTCACCATCATCACCATCAAGGAAACCCGGTCATCACCATCATCAAAATTCACCCTTACATTCACCATAATCACCATTCCCAACCATTACCACACACATCATCACCATCAAAGAATCTCAATCATCACCATCAACATCAACAATTACCCACATATTCACCATCGCCATCAACCATTCATATACTCATCATCACCATAAAAAAGTCCTTACCATCAATATCAACACCCACTCTCGCATTCACCATCATCACCATCACTAACATCACCAACACCACCATCATCATCACTAGCATCACCATCACCAACATCACCATCTCCATCCCCAACATCACCTTCACCGTCATCCCCATCACCAACATCACCTTCACCATATTCACCATCACCACCACCATCATCCCCCACATACCATCTTTATCAGCTATGTTTGGGTTTGCTTTGGCTGCCAGGAGTGCCTTCACCACCGGCAAGTGCTTCCAGATGACGGATGCTTGCAGGGGCGTCACACCTGTAGAGAGATAGTGTTGGGGTGGTCATCATCATCATTATCATCGTCGTCATTACCATTAGCATTATCATCATCATCATTATCATCATCGTCGTCATTACCATTATCATCATCATCATTATCATTATCAT